TAATCAGACTTATGTGAAGTTTATTGTATATCACAGTAGCATCATATATCGAGACAATTAAATGTTATCTGAATACGAGTATATAAAGATTAAACAGTATTTAAACATACAGGTTCTTACTCACAAAAAGCCAGCCTTTTCATTGGTTGGGAATTAATATCTGAACCAGAAATTTAACCCCACAACCAATGAAAATGTTGTATTCTTTAAATATTTCATGAATAAGGCCCCAGTTTCTAGTCGAGGGTCAAAACTTGATTAATTTGTTTACATTTTTAAAATTTTATTAAAAAAGTGTTTATGTTTTAAGCATGTATATGTATTAAGATGTATTAAGGATTTTTTATATCAAATTTTATTAACGATTCATGAATGATTCTACTTTTTATTTATTGCACCTTGAATGCTAAGACATATAATTATTATGTATGGTTTGATAATCGAGTGTGAGACATTAAGTAATATATTGATACTGAACAAGGCATTAGTCGAGTGTTGTTTCAATATATTACGCAATGTCTTTAGCTTGAGACCATTAAACAACTTCAAATACAGACACTATCCTGAGTCCAATATTTCATCTAGTATAGATAATGTACGATTGGCAAGTGGCCATTACCTTTTTGGAAATAATAGTACGCCAACATCAAAGGATGACGTTACATCTGTATATTATTTTGTATTCCGATATGCATTTAAAAATTTATTTTCTTACATTCAACCAAACAATAACCTTCATTTATTGACATTTTAAAACAAAATTAATTCTAAAATTTATGAACAGGCACTATGAAAATCAAATCTAAAAAATATGGCCTATGACATATTGAAATAACAACCCAGTTGAGTCCATTATCTGCACCTAAATCCATTTACTCCTATAACACAAGATAGATGTAAATATTGATTTCCCCACGTACCTGGAAAAAATTAGAAATGAAATTTATCCTCTTTGTATTGAGTTTTGTGGATTATTTTCAAAACAACCAGAAACTACACGCTGTATCATAAGGCCTGTCATTGAGTCAACTGGCGTGGTTTCGAATCCCCGGTTGTATACGACAAGGTGTAGGGTTGCCTGTCCAACCTCGTGGGTATTCTCTGGGTCCTCCGGTTTCCTCCCACTGCTAAAGACCCCTCTGCGCAAGCGAATTATTGAAATAAAATTGAACCATGTTAGAACCGAAATGACCTATTTTGTGTTGAGTGGACTTTAAACCCCATATCTCTTTCTTTCTCTCTTTAAAAGTGCAATAAATAAAAAGTTGTATCTACCTTATTTAGTTTTTATGTGTTAAAATAATTTATACAATAATATGGTATTATAGTAATTTTATAGATAAATGAGAAAAGTTTTGTACATAGAAAGGAAAGTATTGTTATAAAGAGAAATTCATTATATTATTATTATTATTCTCCCTCTATACCTTCATGTTGTCAAGTATTAAAAATACTACTTCAATGTATTCTCCCTAAACTACAATAGAATTGTTTCCCTTTCAACACCCTATTTATATTATCAATGTATTCTCCCTTAACTACAGTAGAATTGTGTCCCTTTCAACACCTTATTTACATTGTCAATGTATTCTCGCTTAATTATGGTAGACTGACAAAATTTAAGATTTTACGTTATGGATCTTTAGTCAACTCGCAGAGCTCGGGAATCATAAATATATCCTGACAGAAAATCAAAATTTTTCACTTCAAATTTTACAAACCAGTCGGTTTTTAGCGTATTTTATGACAATTTTTAGAATTATCTGAAATTTATAGGCCTCTATATTTTTTTAAGCGTATTTACTGCATTTTAAGGTTAAATTCTTTGAAACTCTAAATTTATGACATATAAATTGATTGACAAGTAAATTCTCCATCCAGTCATTTTCACTGTCAGTCAAGTCAAAACTAGTAAATATGACTAAAACAAGAAACCCTGCTGGAAGTATTATTATAAAGGGAAGTAACTCATTTAGACGGCTTCAGACCACTATTCTTGTTTCATATAGTAAATGTAAGGTTCTGCAGCAGACTGATTTGACTGCCGGTCAGTCAGGAGCCCTGGTGTAATAGTAACCTATATTCAATCAAAAGCCTGACTAATTGTTTAAATTGTTTAAGTGGTATTTAATAACTGAATGAGAATAACCCATGACACAATTATATGGAATACAAGTTACTTATTTTTTGATAATTTTTTTTTTGGGTGATGTTTCGACGAGGGTTCTCTCTTCTGTTATCATTCTTTGCTTGATAAAGATGAGAGAAACCTCGTCAAAACGTGGCCAGAAATAAATCTTTTAAGTAACTTGTATTCCATTTAATTGTGTCACATGTTAAAAGCGGCTAGATCTGTTCCAAGATTTCGTCAAGGTCGCTGAGATGTAAATCAGGTTTGGGCACGTTATTGTTGGTGAGGGTTGGGTAAGCGTTAGAGCTAGGTTCAGGGTTAGGGTTGGGATTAGCGCTAGCTCTGTTTACATCTTGAAGTTGGGGTTATGAAGCCTGACCTGTATTGAAATCAAGGGTGTTTGTATTAATAGTATTTTTTCACACCTAGAGATATATTTCCTATGGCCTTATATATTAACCCTCCATGAATTGTAGCATATCAGCTGTTTCATGATATGCTTCATTTATGAGATTATTTCATCTTCTAAATACAATGGTTGACTAGATGTCATTGTGATAACCCAATTACAATGGTTGACTAGATGTCATTGTGATAACCCAATTACAATGGTTGACTAGATGTCACCAAGATAACCCAATTACAATGGTTGACTAGATGTCATGTGATAACCCAATTACAATGGTTGACTAGATGTCATCGTGATAACCCAATTACAACGGTTGACTGAATGTCAATGTGATAACCCAATTACACTTAAAACTAATTTTAGGAAATGGGTTGAACATGAATTTCAGAGCAATTGACTCGGCAATCATCAAAACTTTTCTAAATGGCAAAAGTAGAAAAATCCCTTATATTTTGAAGATGAAACTAATTATGCAAATCCAATCCCTACAACTGTATATTTCCACAGATAGTATTATTACTTTAATACGTGTAAAATATGTAAAATGTTTATATTATTATAAAATGATTATTATGCATCATATTGTATTTATTTTAAATATATATCATAGATATACAATACTCAGTATTCTTGTTTTATTTCTTATGTGAAATGAAATGAAATGGGGTTTAACGTCCTACTGTTCTGCTCCTATACTGGGCTAATGAAGACGGGCATATGCCATACAGTGTGCTATGTGTGAAATTTTGCCCGGGCAGCGGCACTATCGCCTACTCTTATATCGAATTCCAACTGCCAAGGGATCTTTTACGTGCATTCCAATGTATACACGGGACCTCAGTTTTTTCATCTCATCCGAAAGACTAGATAGCTGTCCTTGTCAGGCCCTCAGTCCTGCATCACTGACAAGGGGAAACCACGCCGGAAAATCGGGATGAACTTTCTCGGCCAATGCAGGGATCGAACACCCGACCTCCAGGCTAGCGAGCCAGCGTCTTACCCACTTAGCCACGTGATCCTCTTATTTCTTATGTGAACACGGTCTAAAGTGTTGCATTGGGAGTTTTGGGAGTGTCACCACTGTGTTTGTGGGTTTGCCAACCTCGTGGGTTTTCTCCAGGTCCTCCGGTTTCCTCCCACTGCTAAAGACCCCTACGTGCAAACGAATTATTGAAATAAAATTGAGCCATATGTTAGTCCCGAAGTTTTCTTGTTTTATTTCTTATGTGAACTCGGTCTAAAGTGTTGGATTGGGAGTTTTTTGAGTGTCACCACTGTGTTTGTGGGTTTGCCAACCTCGTGGGTTTTCTCCAGGTCCTCCGGTTTCCTCCCACTGCTAAAGACCCCTACGTGCAAACGAATTATTGAAATAAAATTGAGCCATGTGTTAGTCCCAAAATGACCTAGCTTGTGTCGAGTGGATGGTAAACCCCATTTTTCTCTCTCTCTCTCTCTTGTGGGTTTGATCATATGATTGTACATAGAGGAGTGTTTTTTTTTAGGGGGGGGGGGCAGAAGTGATCTAATTTTTACATATTTCATCAATGCATGTGTGATATAATCCTTGTTTAGTGTTTTGCATGTGTCATAGTTTCGATCCCATTTTTGATTGTGACAAGGAGTAGGAATTTCTGCCAGTCCTTTTCTCTGAGTTTCTTCCATTGCTAAAGACCCTTATGTCCAAGCACATTATTGAAATGAAGATACAGAATATGTTAGCCCCCTAAATCAGCCTCACCAATGTTCTACATGTGCAAATGAAGAAACATGTTAAGTAAGTCTCACCCATAGTATACAACATGTTAAGTAAGTCTCACCCATGGTCTACAACATGTTCAGTGAGTGAGTCTCACCCATGGTCTACAATATGTGTAGTAAGTCTCACTTACCCAACCTGTGGTCTTAAAACATATGCAATCGGGCAAACACACAAATTTTGCAAACTACAGTGAGTCTCGTTCATGGCATTGATGTAGCTCTACACTTTATTACTTGTATGCATTGATAGATAAAAGCCTACAGAAAATACAATTCAAGGGAGACAAATCCAATTAAGCAGGTACTATTATTCTGATATTGAAGAAAAAAACCAAATTCTTTATAAGGCGGACTACCAAATTAAAAAAAAAAATACCAATATTCTTCTTCAAAATTAATACATTTATCACAGAAAATCCCTCATACATACACTTAATTTGAAATCTTCGGGCGTTTTAATGAACTTTATTTTAATTCTCTTCCATTTTTTCTTTGTAAATTCTGTGACGGAATATTTTTTAAGAAATAATGTAATGAAAACTATTCCATTTTTATTTCGAAAAACAACAACTACTATTCCTTAATAATATAGAATATTATTATTTTCGTCGACTATTTTTTATCCATATTGACATATTTTATAACGCCCGACTTTAGCCAATTATAATATGTCATGTGATTTAATCTTGGACAAAATGGCGGATGAAAATAAACATTGTGAAATCGATGAAGGAAGATTTTAAAGTATTTTATAATGTAATATCAGTGTTTTGATAACTGTAGTAGTATAATAACAAGTAGCAGAAACAAAAGAACTGAATATGTCAATGAGAGATGTGAAATTATGTTTACTAGGGGTGAGATTCTCTATTATAAGTTATGCTCAAAATGTTGACGGTCGACATGCATTGATTTGCAAACAAAATTATCGACAAGAAGTTAGAATGGCGATCATGTTTGATCCGACTCCCTTTTCTATTTCCATCACTTTTACATTCCATATTAGGATTAGGGTTAGGGTCAGGTATTTAAGATTAAAACCTATAAATTCAGGGTTAGGGGTTTAAGATTAAAACCAATGACTGAATGAGTAATTTACTTTCTGTGGTGCCACATGACAACAATGAAATATTGAGACACAAAAATGGGAGTCACATCAAACATGAATGCCCTTAGAAGTCAGTAACAAAATGGATAAATTTCACGGAATGATAATAATAATATTAAGTCGCATCAAATTGTAGAGGATGAGTATCGGATGAGATATTCTTTCTTAATTTGTGGTAGATAACCTTATTTCTTTCAAGGTGGTTGAATGACCTATCATCATTATCATCAGGTACATTGATTGATTGATTGATTGATTGATTGAAAATGGGTGTGGGATCAATGACTGATGGAATAAGACTTATGTCCCTGTGACACTTATTGTCCCCAGCCTTTCGAAGAAAACAGGGGACTATTAAAGTGGGTTCGTCTGTCTGTCCGTCCGTCCGCCCGTCTGTCCATCACACTTTTTGGGACACAATAACTCTTTCTATTTGAGCTAAAATGTTCAAACTTGGTGTAGGTGTTTATTAGGTCAATAATTTGATGGAGTTCGAAGATGAGCATATTCTGCTTAGGGTAAGCATCTATAGATAAGCAATCAGGTTGATGCTTTGGGACACGATAACTTTAGTTCTAATTAAGTGAGAGTGATGAAACTTGATCAAGCTTTTGATCCTATGACGTCAGACATTTGATTAATAAATCAGCCTTAATGTTTCTAAAGGGTTATCCACAGTTCTGTGTACCTCACGCCAAAAACTTGCCATAATAAACCGTTTCATTGACACACCATCCAGAATGCGGGTTAAATAACAACTCTTCCAGAGCCTAGTGTAGTAAAGACAAGTAAAACAGAATTTTGAACTATAAAAAACAAAACGAAATAGAATCTGTGTTTTAATCAGTTCATTGTGATTGTTCGTATATCTTAAAATGGCTAGATTGTTCAGTTCTGTCTCAAAATTAAAGAAGCTAAATTGCTAATATTTGGGACCTAGAAATATGAATGTATATAAACTGATTTAAATTCAATCGTTTCCATTTTTACTCTAATTTCAATTCAGTTATGTTTGGCAAAATACGCTAGATGTCTCAATCAAATAGCAATCTCTAGCGTCTGGTTATTCCAGTTTACATCAGTAGTATTTATTATGCATGCTCTCCAGATAAGAATATGGGATATGTCTAGCCTCGTTCTTCAGGTCCTTTTTCAAATGGCACTGAAACGCATTATGGTACACGATTTGTGTACCAATGGTAAAATATTTATCTTGTCTTAAATATTGGATATCAGAAGCCCATCTTTTCCTGGTAAGATCACAACATCAATGTTGATTTAAATTGACAAATAATTTGTGTTTTCAGTGTGGATGATATTGAGTTAAAGATGGGTTCCCAGAAAAGTATTTATCGGGCGGTTATTTCCAATAAAAGTATGACAATTTTGGTATGGAAAGTAGAGATATCCAATCTTACTAGAAAAATACTGGATTCCCCGAAAAACACTCCTGGAGCGTATACAGGACAAAAATATAAGGGTTCCCCTAATCAACAGCCCGACGATTAGGAAGTTCTGCACACGTGATGTCAAAGGTCACACGCGAACATTGACGTACAACACTTTCTGAGATAAAAATGACGGAAAAAGACGCGGGTAGTGGATAATCCGAGAATTTAATTAGGATTCGATATTTGTAATAAATAGTAAGCGATTAAAGACAACATCGTCTTATTTATGCAATGAATTCTCCTCTGACTTCCAAGACGTGACGTAAACATGACCTGGTTTCATCAGATTTTAATAGCAGGGCATTCCTTCGCAATTACAATGTTTGAGAAGGATTTGAAGCATAATTATGACAAATTAATTAGTTTGAATATGTTTTTAGTCCATATATACCATTAAATCACCCAGTTTGAACGCAGGAACCCATCTTTAAAGACTTAGCTCCTTTAAATATACTTCCTGGATTACTCATTTGGTCATGGGGAATTCCCTTTGACTCACTTGGTAGAGGTGTATGGATTTCCCACAGAAACATCCTGTTAAATTATCAACATTCAAGAGAGAGAAATGGGGTTTAACGTCCACTCGACACAAACTAGGTCATTTCGAGACTAACATATGGTTTAATTGTCCCCCGCCTTTCGAAGAAAGCAGGGGACTATTAAAATGGGTTCGTCCGTCTGTCTGTCTGTCTGTCCGTCTGTCTGTCCGTCTGTCTGTCTGTCCGTCACACTTTTTGGGACACAATAACTCTCTTCCTAATTGAGCTAGAATGTTCAAACTTGGTGTATGTGTTTATTAGGTCAATGCCTTGATGGAGTTCGAAGATGAGCATTTTCCGCTTAGGGTAAGCAGAGATAAGCAATTTGATTGGTTGATGCTTTGGGACACGATAACTCTCTTCCTAATTGGGCTAGAATGTTCAAACTTGGTGTATGTGTTGATTAGGTCAATGCCTTGATGGAGTTCGAAGATGAGCATTTTCCGCTTAGGGTAAGCAGAGATAAGCAATTTGATTGGTTGATGCTTTGGGACACGATAACTTTTAATTGAGCTAGAATGTTCAAACTTGGTGTATGTGTTTATTAGGTCAATGCCTTGATGGAGTTCGAAGATGAGCATTTTCCGCTTAGGGTAAGCAGAGATAAGCAATTTGATTGGTTGATACTTTGGGGCACGATAACTCTCTTCCTAATTGAGCTAGAATGTTCAAACTTGGTGTATGTGTTGATTAGGTCAATGCCTTGATGGAGTTCGAAGATGAGCATTTTCCGCTTAGGGTAAGCAGAGATAAGCAATTTGATTGGTTGATGCTTTGGGACACGATAACTTTAGTTCTAATTAAGTGAGATTGATGAAACTTGGTGTATAGATTTATTATATGAATACCTTAACTAAGTTCGATAATGAACATTTTTTGCTGAGGGTAAGCAGAGTGATAAGCAATTTGATTGGTAGAAACTTTGGAACACAATAACTCTCCTTCTAATTGAGGTAGAATGTTCAAACTTGGCATAGGTGTCTATTAGGTGAATGTTTAAACTTTATGTAGATGTTCATTAGGTGAATGTCTTGACTGAGTTCAATAATTAACATTTCGAGCTGAAGCTAAGCAGAGCTAATCGATTTCATTTGTCGATGGTTTGGGACAAGATAATCTTGATTCTATCTGATAGAGAGTGATGAAACTTAGTGAAAAAAATAAATGTGCGATTAATTAATATGTGTCATCTATTTATTTTGCAATTTCGGCGGGGGACATCAGCCTCACTGTTGGCTTGTTTTATTTACATAATTCGGTTGCGCGTAGGGGTCTTTAGCAGTGGGAGGAAACTGGAGGACCCGGAGAAAACCCACGTACAACCGGGGATTCGAATCAACATTCAAACAGTATATTAACATGTGCCCAGATGTGAAAAGAACAGATTGATTGTTCATCATGATTCAGCTAATTATGACATTTTGATACAATGTAATGGTCTATTGTTTGATAGTTAGCCTACATTAAAGATACATTATGGGAGATTTTTATAGAGAGTTGGCCATTCTTGCTATAATAGTTCAAAAGTAGATGATGAAAGAAGAATATATTGAAAATTTCAGTCAAATTACTTTATTCTGAACATAGTTATCATCGTTGTAATATTTGAATAGAAATGGTAGTGAAATGTGCCTTAAACTTGGCCGATCGTTTGATTGACAGGCGTTAACTCCACCTACATATTTACATTAATAGAGTTAAACATACATTATGGGAGATTAGATAAAGAGCTGGCAGTTCTCACTATAATAGTTAAAAATTAGATAATGTAAAGGGAATTTGCTGAAAATTTCAGTCAAATTGATCCACTCTGAACCGAGATATTAGTGTTTGAATTTTAGGCCTAGCCTCGATAATCATTACTAAAGTCGTTACAATAAATATCATACTCATAGTCTTGATCATCCATTTTTGGGGTAAATCATCAATGAGCCCGAGCGTTGAGCAGCAAATCGGATTTAAATCCAGTAAAAATCTGACACATACATGTAAGATGTCATCGAGAGTTGATTTAATGGTCATTTCATGTTAATTAATGTCTAATTAATAGTTTCGATAACATTTCAGGCCTAAAGAAAGACCCCCAATAGGCAGATTTACCTCTTGCATAATGCAAGGTTAATAGACTTTATACAGACCGTGATATACAAATGTATCTCAGTCAATTTACATGTACAGGAATAAAGAGTTACTATTATAACAAATTAATAATCAATGTGTATTTATTAATAAGGCTTCAAACATGTTATATATTAAACCAAGACCTTCCGGATATTGGAACCAGAAAATGATATGATTATGTTACACTTCTAAAAATATATCAATGCATCTTCCTTGCTTCCCGCTTTGAATTTACATATTTTATCCATAACTTTGATTTAAATCACACAATATTTTATAGATATATATCTTTTTAGGTCGTCATATATGTAATGATCATAATTATGGAAACAGTTTTATATAAGCACTCTTGCTTGTTACTCAACTGCAATCTACATATTGCACACTGTATGGCGTATTTCCATCTTCAATAACCCAGTATAGGAGCTGAACAGTAGGACGTTAAACCCTATTTCAATACATGTCTACAATAATTGATCGTGTGTATGTTGTCATTGTTTCAATGATTTATTACTCAAGAAAGTAATCAAAGATATGTAATAAGCTTACATATATAACCTACATGCTATAACCTATCTATAAGTCTATTAATATACAGGTTAACTATCAAACACACCCAATGTCCTTTTACAGAAATGTAATGAAATGGGGTTTAACGTCCTACTGTTCTGCTCCTATATCAGGCTAATGAAGACGGGCATACACCATACAGTGTGCTATGAGGGAAATTTTGCCCGGGCAGCGGCACTATCGCCTACTCTTATATCGAATTCCAACTGCCAAGGGATCTTTTACGTGCATTCCAATGTATACACAGGACCTCGGTTTTTTGTCTCATCCGAAGGACTAGACAGCTGTCCTTGTCAGGCACTCCGTCCTGCACCACTGACAAGGGGAAACCAATGTCCTTTTACATAGAATACAACCATAATTAGTAGAGTCCTGCTGAACGATCAATCTTAGGCCTAGAAATAACTGTTTTACAGGTACAAGACATTTTAAACTTAGTGCCGGACATGTATTAATAATAACAATAAAAAAAAAACAAATCAGTGCCAGACAAAATGACAGGCACCAGAAGTTTTGTGCCTGACAAAGCCTGAATCCGTGGCTGATATTGTCTGTGACAGGTGCTTCATTTCAAAACTTGTCAATAAATTTGTAGATGACCATAATAAAGTATGTTTTAACTATATGGTTGTAAATTTCAATAAGTTTACAAATGACCATAATATAGTAGTATGTTTGACACCATGTAAAGACGGGGTACGGTGTGGTTAGTTTTTACATGACCATAATATTGCATGTTTAAACTCCGTACAAAGGCTGGACAGTGGATGTGGTTGTAAATTTCAACAAGTTTATAGTTGACCGTTATATATGTCATGTTTTAACTACGTACAAAGGCTGGACGTGGTTGTTAATTTCAATAAGCTTATATGTCATGTTTGAACTACGTGAAAGGACTGCACGTGGTTGTGAATTTCAACAAGTTTATAGATGACCGTTAAATGTCATGTTTTAACTCTGTGAAAAGACTGGACGTGTTTATAGATGACTATGATATATCATGTTTTAACTACGTGAAAAGACTGGACGTGTTTATAGATGACTATGATATATCATGTTTTAACTACGTGAAAAGACTGGACGTGTTTATAGATGACTATGATATATCATGTTTTAACTATGTGAAAAGACTGGACGTGTTTATAGATGACTATGATATATCATGTTTTAACTATGTGAAAAGACTGGACGTGTTTATAGATGACTATGATATATCATGTTTTAACTATGTGAAAAGACTGGACGTGTTTATAGATGACTATGATATATCATGTTTTAACTATGTGAAAAGACTGGACGTGTTTATAGTTGACCGTTTTAACTACATGGTTTTAATAAATTAATAATTAATAACAATATTGCTACATTAAGTAGATTATCTAGTGAATACTTTATATGTGTTTATTTTTATCAGGTTTGTTTTGTTTACAGGATTCTGGTGTGGGTAAATCCAGTCTTGTGATGAGGTTCGTCACAGATTCGTTTAAACCAGCACTAGAGAGTACAATAGGGTAAATATCTTTTTCTTCTTCACAATCTGTCGAAAGGTGATGGTAGGAAATAGGGTACCTGTAATTGATCTCCAATTCCCATTAATATAATCAGCAGGGGGTGGGGGGTCCTAGTGGTTTAAAATGTGAAATCACAAGGTCGGTCATTGAGTGAAGTGACGTCATTTCGATTCTCCGTCTGTCCAACCGCGTGGGTTTTCCCCAGGTCCTCTGGTTTCCTCCCACAGCTCAAGACCCCTACACGCAAGCTAATTATTGAAATAAAATTAAAAACCATATGTTAGTCCTGAAATGACCTAGTTTGTGTCGAGTGGACGTTAAACCCCATTTCTCTCTCTCCCACATTGACTAGCCTGTTTTGAAGTCTGTTAACTATTTTATTAGAGAGTGAATTCATTTGATTTATAATTTCATATATTTACAGGGCTTCCTTTATGACAAAGACGTTACTAGTGGAGGGAAATACTTATAAATTTCAGATCTGGGACACGGCTGGTCAAGAAAAGGTTAGTTACTGGGTTAAATATCACGTCAGTACAATTCTGTATTCGATCTTTTCAACATTAACATCAGAAGGCACTTACTGTAAACTCCACCCAAACCAGAGACAGCAGTCAGAATCCCCATTATATCACTTCAGAAGGCACTTAAACCCCCACCCAAACCAGAGACAGCAGTGAGAATCTACATTACATTATTTTGATACTAACATATTGCTGTTTTTGATTTAACATGGTCTTTCATGCAATCTGGCTCGCTAGCCTGGAGGTAGGGTGTTCGATCCCTGCATTGGCCGAGATAGTTAATGCAGATTTTCCGGCGTGGTTTCCCATTTTCAGTGGTGCAGAACGGAGTGCCTGACAAGGACAGCTGTCTAGTCGTTCGGATGGGACGGAAAACTGAGGTCCCGTGTACACATTGGCGTGCACGTAAAAGATCCCTTGGCAGTTGGAATTTGATATAAGAGTAGGCCGTAGCGCCGCTGCCCGGGCAAAATTTCCCTCATAGCACACTGTATGGCGTATGTCCGTCTTCATTAGCCCAGGTTAGGAGCAGAACAGTAGGACGTTAAACCCCATTTCATTTCATTTCATTTCTTTCATGCAATGATGAAAAGGGATTTTGCTCAGAAAGCCAAGAAACAATGACAATTTCAGAAACCGAGATCACATGCATATGTTGGAATGCACATAAAAGAATCTGCTGTGACAGTTGGAATTTGAAATATGCACACAGCATGGCATATGGCCGGTGTTCATTAGCCCGGTTGGAGCAGAAAAGAAGGATATTTCAGATCAGTCATTAATAAAATATCCTGTCCAACTGTTTTATATAATTATATAATTTGGCCCCGAGTTTTAAAGCATACTCAACCTTCATTCACTATTTATGAGAAATATCTTTGATCCAGAAACACAAAACGTTGTACATGTTTTCTTATTAAACATTAAAACAACAATTATTTTATAAAGGGCTATATTTTAGTCAAAATAAGGTGAACAATTTTAAGTAAATTCTCAACTTAAGTCTGAGAATGCTTTGTAAACTCCATGCCCCGAGTTCACAAAGCATTCTCAGACTTAAGTTAAGAATTTACTCAACTTTCAATGAGAAATTTCTTTGATCCAGAAACACAAATCTTTGCACATAGTTTCTTATTTATGTATTTGATACATTAAAACAACAAAAGTTTTATAAAGGGCTATATTTTAGTTAAGAGAAGGTGAACAATTTTGAGTATATCTTTAACTTAATTATGAGAATCGTTTGTAAACTCCAGGTCTGATTTATTAATTTTGTATTTTAGTATCGCGCTCTAGCTCCGATGTATTACAGAGGTGCTGCAGCGGCTATAATAGCTTATGATGTCACTAGAGAGGTGAGTTGATTATTTTAAAATTGAACATTGATAGATGTCATTAGATGTTCATATCCTTGATTAATGGACATAGGGGTATAACTTTTCATAATATTTATAATATTACAATTTTATCCTTTTAAAGAAAGTAGAATTTCTATCATGGATGTTGACTAGATACCTTATTCACGAAAAATGAAACTAAAAGACTGTAAGAATGCAGCCTGTTCATTGGCTGAGAGCTAAAATATGTAGTAGAATTTAAAACTTTAACAAATGAAAATGGGGTATACTTTCAATATATTAAACATGCATTATGCAAGAGCTAAATCAGACGATTGCAGGTCTTTCTTTAGGGCTTATTAATGAGGCATTTATTAACTTGCCAAGACCATAATCATCTCTCTATGCCATTATATGCTCTTGAATTTCAACGGATGTAAACATGATTGGCAGTTAATGATTTGATTAAAAAATGGATAGTCAAGACTTTGTTTTCTATCGTAACAACGGTAGCAATGACAATCAAGATTCCGTTATTCTCCAAACAGCCCCTAACTTAGCTCAGAATGAAGTAATTTGACAGAAATTTTCAACATATTCCCTTTTCATTATCTGTTTTTGAACTATTATAGCGAGAACTATCAGATCTGTATCTAAATCTTTTTATGCATCTTTAAGTTTTAATGAAGAAGGCGGGAAATATGTATCACTTCTGGAATATACATACTCACTGTTTCAACTGGTTTTACACGATAAAATTACAAATTTTACTTTGATCATTGCTTGATAAAGATATCTGTATGAGTATTGAAACGTTGCATGTAATAAACCAAGATGTGGTAAATCTATAGAGTTGTCTTATTAGGCAACACAAATAAAATAAGTTGTTTCTCGGGCACCGCCCGCACGCAAAATTGGTTGCGCGTGCAGCCTATTTATTAGTCTTGATGAAAAATAAAAAATATGTAACGCCCGCCCGAACATCGATAAGCAAGTCATAAAAAAAATATGCCGCATGTATCTACATGCCCCATTCGTGAATATCCATTCAAATGTATTAAACTGATTCAGATGTAAACGCTCATTTACGGGTCTTTTTTATTGATATCGAAAGAACCTCCATTTTTGTATCACGTGATTTTAATTACCTCCCCTTGTGAACTAGAATTTGATTCGTGTTAAACACCGAAAGTCATTGACAACAATGCAATGTATTTCAATCATTCGATCTTAATCGGCTCATTATTGCCGGCTTCAGTCGGTCCATGTTTGAAAAAATCCTACTTATAAAACAATGAATCGTAGAGCAGGTTAATTATTATAACTTGTGGCTACGAATACGATACGATGATAGTCACCATACCTTAGTCAGAATCTGGGTCATTAGCACGTTTAACGGTAGTTTTGATAATCCGGCAAATAATAATTGGATTACACATTTGATGGTTTTACTGACGAGTTGTTAGTTAAATTTAAATAGTCATTCGATATAAACCCCAGATAGAACACCGAATATGCTGAGAAACACACCAAATATCCTGAGAAACAGTCATTTCACGAATCCCGATGACACGTGACATGCATTGGTTGGAATTAGGTCAATCATTATAAACCAGCGATACTAGATTTAGATCGAAGTGTCGTTTACCGTGATGATTATTTTTGATACACATGCTGACAGAGGCTTACTCTTTAAAATATTGTCGTTATTATGGACGGCTATTAATAGTCTTACGGAATTTTATTTTAAACCAATTTCAATTATGGTTGTCACCATTACCATTAGTAAGCTACATTACGTGAATTCAATATGGAAAATTATTTTCCTTTCAGTCAGTGTTCAGTGTTTGAGTGGACTTGATTTTTGGATTTATGTTCTAAGTATGTATAATATATAACTGAAAGCAAAACCGTAGACAAGTAATGACTTTCTCATTAAAAAAAATAAAAAATACAAGGCCGCCCTCCCGCCCCAACAATTTTCAACAATAGGCAAATTTTATTTTGCACCATCCTCTAGCCAGAAATGAGATAAAAAAAAAAATAAACCGCCCTCCCCCCCTACAGTTTCAGCTGTCAGTTGCCGGAGAAACAAGACATTTATTTTGCGTAGCCTTATGAAAGATTAGATTAAGTGCTGACAGTTCTCCCTATAATAGTTCAAACTAGATAATAAAAAGGGAATATGCTGAACATTTCAGTCAAATTGCTTCACTCTAAGCCGAGAAAACCTTATTTTGAAATCACTGTAGCCACTCGATTGTCATGGTTACGCGGTGGATTAGAAATATTTTAAATTTATTTTCTTCTACAAATTTTTGTTTCAGGCAACATATAAATCTGTTAAAAGCTGGGTTCAAGAATTACGTCATCAAGGTGCTCCAAATATAGTCATAGCCATCGCTGGTAATAAATGTGACCTTGATGACCTTCGCGAAGTACGAGAGAAAGGTAGGATTATTGTTCCTCCGCCTCCAGGAATCGAACTCACTGAGTTGCCGTGGCTTAGGCCTCTCAGACAAAGCATTCTTAGACTTAGGTTTAAGAATTTACTGAACTTTCAATCAATGTTTATTAGAAATATCTTTGATTCAGAAACACAAAACTTTGCACATAGATTCTTATTGGTGTATCTGATACATTAAAACAACAAATTTTTTATAAAGGGCTATATTTTAGTTAAAATAAGGCAAACAATTTTAAGTAAATTCTTAACTTATGTCTGTGAATATTTGTGAACTCAGGGCCAGGTATTTAAAAAAATCTACTCGAACATCAAATAAAAGTTTACATACATGATGTAATTAATATTGATTGTTTTGTTTTATTTTAACAGATGCAGAAGATTATGCTAAGGAGATCAATGCTATATTTTGTGAAACCAGTGCGTTAACGGCAATCAATGTAGCTGATTTATTTTATAAAATATGTACGTACAGTTAGAATTCTATTTTGTTTTTATATGTCAACCCTTTAGGGAGCCATGGTGACTAAGTGGGTAAGTAGGTAAGACCCTGGCTCGCTAGTCTGGAGGTCACATGTTCGATTCCTGCGTTGGCCGAGAAAGGCCATCAGGATTATCTGACATGGTTTCCCCTTGTCAGTGGTGCAGGACGAAGGGCCTGACAAGTATAGCTGTTTATTCATTCGGATAGGATAAAAAAAAACCAGGACGCGTATACACATTGGCGTACATGTAAAAGATCCCTTGGCAGTTGGCATTCGATTTAAGAGTAGACCATAGTGCCGCAGCCCAGGCAAAATTTCCCTCATCGCACACTGTATGGTGTATGCCCGTCTTCATTAGCCCAGTCAGAGCAGAACATGAAAATATTGCTCGCTATAGCACCACAAACTGGTCAACTTGTACTGGTCGAATCTCTTCAATTTGTTTTTATCTTTTTACCCAAAGAAGATCATTTGCCTGACAAAATTATTTTGCATATTTTTTCACACTTGCCTGGCTGTCGGGTGTTCGATCCCTGCATAGGCCGAGAAAGTTCATCCAGATTTTCCAGCGTGGTTCCCAATTGTCAGTGATGCAGGACGGAGGGCCTGATAAGGACAGCTGTCTAGTCGTTCGGATGGGATGAAAAACTGAGGTCCCGTATACACATTTGCGTGCACATAAAAGATCTCTTGACAGTTGGAATTCGATATAAGAGTAGGCCTTAGTGCCGCTGTCCGGGCAAAATGTCCCTCATAGCACACCGTTATTCGGATTCCCGTCTTCATTAGCCTAGTTCGGAGCAGAACAGTAGGACGTTAATCCCCATTCCATTTCATTTCATTTTTCACACTTGTCATTTAATTGTGTTTTTTTTTTAGCGGAGAGATTACCATGTGAAGATTACTCATCTGCGGCTAAACTTGGTAGCACTGTCAATCTACGAAACAGAAAAGACGTAAAAAAAGACAAAAAATGTTGCGGATCCTGATGCTAGGTTTTTGATTTAAGATTAGAAATTTTTTAACAAATCAAAACAGTCTGATTGTGGCACGGATCTTCTTTGGTTTCGTTTTTATAAACTTCAAAATTTTGTTTAATAGGCCTTTGTATGATAGGCCTTTGTGTAATACATGTAGGCCTTTGTTTTAAAGGCCTTTGTATAATAGTTCTTTGTTTAATAGACCTGTCTACCGTAGGCCTTTGTATGATAGGTCTTTGTTTTAAAGGCCTTTGTATAATAGGTCTTTGTTTAACAGGTCTTTATATAATATGTCTTTGTTTAAAAAGGCCTTTGTTTAATAGGCCTTTGTATAATAGGCCTTTGTTTAATAGGTCTTTGTATAATAAGCCTTTGTTTAATAGACCTGTCGACTGTAGACCTTTGTTTAAAAGGTCTTTTTTTAATTGACCTTTCTAAGGTCGACAATTGTTTAATAGGTCTTTGTTTTAAAGGTCTTTGTTTGTATGATAGGCCTAAATTTTGACACAAAAGCCGTTTTTTAGAAAACGAATGACAAATTAGATCTGTAGTTTTATCAGACTGGTAATAAAAGACAAACCTAAATGTAAAGATGCATTATGTAAGATTTAGATACAGAGCTGGACGTTCTGGATATAATAGTTCCAAAATAGATAATTAAAAAATTAATATATTGAAAATTTCATTCAGATTACTTTATTCTGAGCCAAGATATCATTGTTTGAAGTTTTAACAAGATGTGGTAAATATTGTTTATTACCATAGCAACGTTACTTGTTAATTGAGACTCTGCCTCACTTCTCCATTTTTAAATTAAAACTTTAAATGGCGATCGCAATACGGTTTAAATGTGTGCCATCGGATGATATAGAGAGTTGGTTATAAGCTTGTCATGTTAAAAAATGTCTAAATAATAATTTATGTAACATTTGAAGCCAAAATAAAAGTCTGCAATAGACAGATTTAGCTCTTACATAATGCATCCTTATAAAACTTACAAACTAAAAACTTGCGATAATATTATTATTATTATTATTATTATTGTTCGATTTATATAGCGCTTCATTACACATGAAGTGTTTCTAAGCACATATCACAAACATTTACTTCAAACACACAGAAACAATCAAAATCAGGAGAACATAATTAAACACAATTAAAGACAATTAAACACAGCTGCCTGTTAGGCGCTATTATTCAAAGGTTTATATCCAATAAATCAACCGGCTAATCTCTATATTGAACTCAGTCAAGGTATTACCTGATGAACACCTACACCAAGTAGAGTTCAAAAATAAAAAACGAAGTTTAAAAGAATCAACTTCATTAACAAAAATTAAACAATCAAAAACTAAACAGATAAATCAAATTCAAACGAAACAAATAAAACAAAGAAAATGAAAAGAGCAGTTCATTACCATTCTACATTAACAAAATAAAGGAAAACAACTTGTGAAAATTTTTCAAAAAATAAGAGCAAAGTAACACTAATGTTAATACTTTTTTAACGAACATATGTTATATAAAGTATTAATTAGACATTTATTCACATGACAAGCCAATAATCAACTCGTATCATGCTGTTACCATTGTTCACATTTGTTTGTGGACACTCTACAGGTCACAATTTTTATCCAATTTAGATGAAGCTTACAATATATGTTTATTTCCCAAATAACTCAGACACATGTCGAACCTTAAATTTCTGGATTATTACCCCTGGTTGTACATTCATGGGAGGACGAACTCCATCAATAATCAGTGCTCCACAAAACTCTGTTCCAGAGTTAACCCCTGAAAACCTCCGAAAAGCAATAGAGGCTACAGTTTTTCAACAGATTTATATCAAATGTGGTGTTCCTGAATATTATAATTTGCATAGTCTTGTGCATAAGGGGTACAATTTATGTCTGTCTGTCGATCTCCATTGTAAAAAATAGATGTTTAGTGGTGACGTCCAATATGTGTGGACTCAAATTTTAAATAATTTTCAAAATTCTTAGAACGATTGTATACTAATATAACCATGCTTTAAATGTATGGTGACGGCATCCAACATGCGTTTATTCAAATTCTTAGAAAAATTATATACTACCCATGCTTCTGATGATGTTGGGGTAGTCACATCCATAATCCATAATTTTAAATAATTTTCCAAATTCTTAGAACGATGTATACAAATATAACCATGCTTTAAATGTATGGTGACGGCATCCAACATGCGTTTATTCAAATTCTTAGAAAAATTATATACTACCCATGCTTCTGATGATGTTGGGGTAGTCACATCCATAATGCGTTGAGTGTTGACCGAAGTTAATTAATTTTCAAAATTCTTCTAAAATTGATAAATAACCACATACTGATGTAAGGTGGTTACATCCAGCATGTGTTCACCCAAAGTTAAATAGTTTTCAAAATTCTTGAAAAAAAAAAGCCTACTTACAAAAGAACAACAATATGCTAACCTAGAGTTATCTGCCTTTGTATGGAACGCACAATTTATTTGGATACTCAATTGAACGTTCCGAAATTGAATTCTCTAAATCCCCAAAATAATGACAATCGAGTAAAAAGGGGTGGTTTCGATCTACAACGTATGAGCCGAACGCATAAGAAAATATCCCAACCATCTGTGACAGCTGAAACATATTAGTTGTGTTTATTTATGTCACGATTCTACTCACCTCAGTTGTCGGAACTGAGAAAACTTTGTCAGGACTGAATTGCCCGTCACTTGATTGCAATTCTGTCAAATTGGGACATTCCGGAATGTTCAATCAAGTATTCCCAGTATGTAATAATTGGGACGTAAAGACTATTAATTGTAGGCTTTTTATTATGATGATTGTCGGTTGGTTTCCTTTAAGAAGAAGCCATGAATAACATCATAATAATAATAAAAGCTTTGACCAAGTGATAGGGTGACAGTTTAAAGGGCCAAGTTAAACATATTTTCGAGCGTTATGTTTTATATACACGTGCATCAATATTGTGAGCAGCAGATCTAGTAGATTGATGTTAGAAATGGACTGAAATGGGGTTTAACGTCCTACTTTTCTGCACCGTTTAGGCTAATGAAGACGAGCGTACGCCATACAGGATAGAGGATTTTTTACGTACATGTCAAAGTGTACACAGAACCTAGGTTGGGTGTCCCATAAGAACAGTCCAACCTAATGGGTTTTCTCCGGGTCTTCCAGTTTCCTCCCACTGCTAAAGACCCCTACGAATTTATGAAATAAAATTAAACCATATGTTATTCCCGAAATGACCTAGTTTGTGTCGAGTGGACGTTAAACCCCATTTCTCTCTCTCAATAAGAACAGCTGGAGGATGTTTGTTGCCAGACAAGGATGTTTCTCAGTCAACACCAGGATCAAACCTTGAATCTTGTGGTTAGTCTTTGGTGTAGAGATGTGGAACATTCAATCCCATTTCATTTCCTGGCGCCTTCTCTGTTCCGGCTAAACTTTTCTTTGACCATTTAATTGTTTATTTTATCAAAGCTTAAATGTAAATTTATCCATTTGTGATTCAAAAGGTCGAGATTGATTATATATAATGTATTAATAGACTATTTCTGTTTTCACCATCTTGTATGTACCCGTAGGCTGCTGTTATTTGAAATATTGGTGCACCATTATCAATCGATGACGTCACATCTGTATTTTAATTAATCAAAATATGAAAAGAGGATATCTGCAGGGGTGCACAAACATATTTTCTTACGGGAAGTGGAGGTACGCCTGTTGTGCCCCACTGGATATCTATGTCAATATTTCATCTGGTATAAATAATGTACTATTGGTATGTTACCTGTACTATTTAAAATAATGGTAGCCATTATCGATCAATGACCTCACATCTGTAAATGTTTCCTCCATCTTGTGTACTGGAACAAGCAATGCAAGAATTCAGCAGCACCAAGTAATTAGTAAGAATAAATAATAAATTGTTTCAATGGCATTTAGTAATTGACCCAATCTGATTAAAACACAGATCCAATTTCGTTTCGTTTTTATAGTTCAAAATTTCGATTTTACTTGTCTTTACTACACTTGGATCTGGAAGCGTTGTTATTTAACTCCTGTTCTGCTTAAAATTAGGGGTCAGCCAATCAAATGGTCTGTCGAATTGAGCGTTTGTTGTTTTTTGCGCAGAACTGTGGGTAGACATTAGCGGCAATAGAAATCAAAACAAAGCAAAATTAGATAAAAAATACATGGCGGTCGCTAATTGGTTAATCGAATGACTGACGTAATCGGGTCAAATGTCGCTTGGTTGGTACCTGACGTCATAGAACGTGAACTCCCACTATAACTTGTTAGATCTACATGTAGTGTAGGCCATCGAAAGTATAAAAAACGAAACGAAATATAGATCTATATTTTAATTAGATTGGTAATTGACCTGGAATATACAGGTCACAATTCTATGGAACACTGCTTAATACTGCGACATTTTGATTAGGCTTCTCTAGTCATTAGATAAAATATCGTATTGTTATATTTTCATATTTTATCATTGCTTGATAATGACTAGAGAAGCCTAGTCGAAACATCGTTCAGTAATAAGCAGTAATTGTATTCCATAGAATTGTGACCTGTATAATAAATAATAAGCAGAAAAGGTGTTCTTGTGGTTTCCTAAAGCCAATAAGAATGGATTTTTGTTTTTATAAAACATAACTCATGTGACTATAAATGGTTCAATCAAATTTAAATTATAATCAATATCAAATATATTTTCAGTGATTTTTGTGGATTTATTAATCAAAATATATTTTGTTTATTTATTTATTTGTTTAGTCTCAAATGTTTGACTCTTTCTTTACCATTTTTGATTGTAGGTGACTGCGATGAGGATGGTCAGATGAGCATGGTCAGAACATTAAGGCTCTTGCATATTCAAAACCAGGTCATACTTTTCTGACTGTCCTATCAGAATGTAAGGCGTTTTTGGCAATGAACGTACTTTTCTGGTTGTCCTGTTGGAATGTAAGGCGTTTTGGGCAACGAACATACTTTTCAGGCTGTCATGTTGGAATGTAGGGTGTTTTGGGCTACGAACCTAGTTTTCTGGCTGTCCTGTCGGAATGTAGGGTGTTTTGGGCAACGAACATACTTTTCAGGCTGTCATGTTGGAATGGGCTTTGAATCTACTTTTCTGGCTGTACTGTCGGAATGTAGGGCGTTTTGGGTTATGAACCTAGTTTTCTGGCTGTCCTGTCGGAATGTAGGGTGTTTTGGGCAACGAACGTACTTTTCTGGCTGTCCTGTCGGAATGTACAACAATTTAGGCTATGAATGTTTTGGCATCAACCTGGCTAAATGACGATGGACATATGCTATGCAGTGTGCTATTAGGAAAAGTTTGCCTTGAAAGCAATTGAACTCAAAGTGTCCTTGGTTCTTTTACGTGCACACCATGGTTTGTTCATATCATACGCAGAACTAGATGTTCCTTGCCAGGCGAGCCTTCCTACACCAATGACAAGGAGAAACCACGCCAGAAAAACCCAGGGAACTTTTTCGGCAACACCGGGATTGAACTCGGGACCTCAGGGTTATCGAGCCAGCGCCTTACTCACTGTGCCACCGTGGCGCCCTGGACACCAACCATCAAAATAGTCAAACAGAATGTTTAAGACAGAGTTGAACACTTGAGACTAGTAAAAGATATGTCACAGATGTTTAATATATTCTTTTTTTTATTTTTATATGCTCACATTTAATTATAGAGGTTTATCGTCAGCCATTCCTCAAGTATGCGTAACTCAATCCAACGGAAACGGAAGTTTATTATCAAATGTCAACATGCTGACCTCTTGTGAACAGTTTGTTGTGTTGTAGCAATACGCCGTCTTCTTGTGAACGGTTTGCTGTGCTGTAGCTATACGCCGACTTCGTGTGAACGATATGCAGTGTTGTAGCCAACCACATGTGACCAGTTTGCAGGGTAGTAGCTGTACGGCCGACCTCTTGTGACCAGTTTGCAGGGTGGTAGCTGTACAGCCGACCTCTTGTGAACAGTTTGCGATGTTGTAGCTATACGTCCAACCTCTTGTGACCAGTTTGCAGTGTTGTAGCTATACAGTCGACCTCTTGTGAACAGTTTGCATTGTTGTAGCTATACAGCTGACCTCTTGTGAACAGTTTGCAGTGTTGTAGCTGTACAGCTGACCTCTTGTGACCAGTTTGCAGTGTTGTAGCTGTACAGCTGACCCCTTCAGAAAAGTTTGCATGGTAGATCTATTTCATAAGACCAACTTCAAGTATGGTCAAAGGTAACGAGAATTAAAAGGGCTAGCGCCTATCCCAACCCTAATCCTAACCCTGGACCTAGCCCTAACCTACAATCTCGCCAACAATCACGTTTCCTAACCTTATTAACATCTCGGCGACCTTGACCTTAAGAAATAGATCTAGCCTAGTGTAGCTATACAGCCGACATACATCACTGTAAACATCCACCTGTTATGTTCAAATAACAGGATAGAAATTATTAATACTTAAACATACTTTATGGGAGATAAGATAAAGAGCTGGCAGTTCTCACTATAATAGTTAAAACTAGATATTAATTAATTCTAAGAATTAACAGGTTTGATAAAAACAATCCCAGAACATTAGTTAAGGCCCGTTTTCCATGTACACGTTTTCGCCGGCGAAAAGGTCGGGTCTAATTCAAATAAAGAGTCTAGGGGAAGAATGATCTAATTCAAATTTTTGTCTTTTCGCATAAAAGGCAAAACAGACTTTTGGACGAGAATGCTTGACGTGAATAGAACAATGAGTGGGTTTAATTACAACTTCAAAATGCTGTTTAATACGAATGATAATTACCAGTACAACAACTGACTTCCACTTTTCAGCCAAATTAAGGTCAAATAAATACGATGGACTTATATTTGTCTGGGAGGCCATTTCAGCTGGGCCTTGGTTCGATGTGACTCTGATCGTTTTTACCTGAAATTGATTGTTCCACAGAAAGCTTATACTAAACAATTTGCTACCAGATGGCGCCATTAACTGGTGTTCGTTGAAAAAGTGACTTAGGTCGTTCTTCCCCGGGGCTCTTCAAATGTAATGGGACTGTTTGCATATAACGGGAAAAAACGCTTACATGGTAAACGGGCATCATACTGTTAGTATTTATACGAAATGTTTTCCATGTTATTGTAAATGTGTACCTAATTTGTATAGCTGTTTATAGCAGATTGGCTTGTTATGTTATAAATAAAGCAATATACATTATATATATTATTAAAATGTCATTTTTTCGGATGGGACAGGATGGCCACAGTGGCTAAGCGGGTAAAACGCTGGCTTGCTAGCCTGGAGGTCGCGTGTTCCATCCCTGCATTAGGCGAGAAAGTACACGATGGAGGGCCTGACGAAAAACCGAGGTTCCGTGTACACATTGGCGTGCACGTAAAAGATCCCTTGGCAGTTGGAATTCGATGTAAGAGTAGGCTGTGGTGCCGCTGCCCAGGCAAAATTTCTCTCATAGCACACTGTATGCCCGTCTTTATTATCCCAGTCTAGGCTATTACACTAATTAGGGCTGGTGGGGATGGCCGAATTGTTAGCACGTGCGTGCTGTATCATAAAGCCTGTCATTAAGTCAACTGGCGTGGTTTCGAATCCCCGGTTGTACGTGACAAGGAGTAGGGTCGCCTGTCCAATCTCGTGGGTTTTCTCCGGGTCCACCGGTTTCCTCCCACTGCAAAAGGCCCCTACGCGCAAGCGAATTATTGAAATAAAATTAAAAACCATATGTTTGTCCCGAAATGACCTAGTTTGTGTCGAGTGGACGTTAAACCCCATTTCTCTCTCTATTCCACTTATTAGGCCCCTTCTCAACCCTCCCGACTAGAGGAAGATGAAAATGAGGTTTAAACACAGTTGAGCAAAATCAACGATGATGACGAATGTTTAAGACTATGCATATAAAAAAAGCTTATGAGTATATGACATTGTCAAAAATATTACACACCTTGGCCGGATGCTCCATAGATTTCGAATCCCTATAGGTAAATCCAGTACTGAAGACGGCAGCACTGATGAGGTTGTCTCCGACTAAATCTTGAAGTTGGCATTATCAAATAGAACTAACCGGTTGTCTCCCGGTACTGAAGACGGTAGCAATGATGAGTTTGTCTGGTTTGGAAGATAGACATGCTGAAGAGATACAGAAATTTGGAAAGGAGTGGGGATGTGGTGTGCGTTCCCACTCCCCCTCCCAACCCCACCACTATAAACTCCAGTTTTAGCTAGATAAGCACTGCTAAAAAGGATGGCGTCGGGTTGAGTGTGTGGCCTTGTGATTCACCCGTGTTACAGCTAGATCAGTACAATTTTAAATGCTATAAGGGGTAGGGTCGGGGTGTGTATGGGAATCCGGACCCCAGTTCCCACCCCTGATAGACTCCAGATACAGTTAGATTAGTTCCATTCTAAGTGACAGGGTGCCGCAGTGGCTCAGTGAGGAGGGTGCTTGCTCACTAACCTGGTGAGATACCGATGTTAGCTGAGAAATGACCTCGGGATTTTCCAGTGCGGTTTTCCCTTCTCACTGGTGCAAGACGGAGGGTGGGAGGCAAGAATTAGTGTCTAGTCGTTCGGATTGACCAAAAATCTGGGGTTCTACGTACACGTGGACATACAAGTGTATGAAAACCCTTGACAGTTGGAATTCAAAATAAAGAGATATCCCAATCGCCGCTGACTGAGCAAAATGTCCGCCATAGCACACTGCATGCGCCCGTCTTTGTCAGACCAGTTGGTGAAAAACAGTAGGAGGTTAACCCAATTTCGATTCTTGGAAACAACAAAAAAACGGGTAAAATTTTGTATTTTTATTTTTATTTCATCAGATAAATTATATCATATTGAAAACAACAATTCATTTAATAAATACGAGACAATAATTTCTTCTCTGTACATTTATAACAATATTTACAAATTCATGAATAATGGCGAGGAGACTGATATGTCTGACCTTCTCCACAACCCTCTGTGACATTCTCGCAAGCCGAGACATGGGCGGATGCAGAGAGGGGTGGAGGGCATACGATCAAGGAGTTGGCATCGGGCATCACCAAACTTCTGTTGCACTAATGGCTGACGACGAAATGAAAAAGTTAAATGATTAGAGGTCCTGTATAAATTGGAATTGGATGAAAACTTACGATTTACAAATAGTAAGAAAATAATAATTAGCATCCTTCAAATTGTTAGACAAAAACTAAAACGAAAAGTCATTAATATTTTCGTAAATTTAAAACAGAATAGTAAAATTCATTGATTAAAAAAGATCCATTTCGTCTATTAAAACAGAATAGGAGAATTCATTGATTAAAAAAGATACATTTCGTCTAAAAAAAATAAAAATAAAATCGAATCTTAGAATGTATTGGGAAGATCCTACTTCTGCTCGAATCTTAGAATGTATTGGGTTCCGGCAAAAACTATTTGTATAATCTCAGTCCCCCCTGGACTAATACAGAATTCCAGAAGAGGTCACGTGTCGGGCTAGACTAATACAAGACAAACTTTCACATTAAATTAATCTTGTTCTAGCCTTGTTACCCTTTCCTACAGATCCCGATGGGCCTTAATGGGCCTTGAAAACTTCTAACTCTACCGACTCAGGTACTCCTTAAAAACATATAAATATATATCACAGGCCCAATATGCCTTGAAAACCTCTACTAGGCCTACCCCATTCAACTACATCCGGTACTCATTAAAAACATCCGGGCCCTTATTCACGAAAACTTAAACTAAGATAAAATCGAAATTTTAAGAAATACTGCAATTCGATTGGCTGACCAGTAAAATCAATTTGCATAATATATCCAATGAAGTTGCAGTATTTTTTAAAAATTTCGATTTTATCTTAGGTTAAGTTTTCGTGAATAAGGGCCCCGTCTCCATTCGCCAAGTCGGGTCACAACAGTTGGACGTTAAATTTCATTTCATTTCATTAAAAACATATATATATATATCACAGATAGAATCTTCATTAAAAATATAAATAAATATCTTATATACATATTATATTCTCAGGATAAACAGGTCCAGGTATTGCACCAAATCGTAATCACACGCATCTAGACATCGTGTACGTATTGCACCAAGTCGTAATCTCACGAATCTAAACATAAACCGTGCTAAGTCATAATCTCACAGACATAATAAACCGTGCACCAAGTCGTAATCACACTCATTTAGACATAAATCGTGGTATTGCACCATGTCGTAATCTCACAGACATCATAAATCGTGGTATTACACCAAGTCGTAATCTCACAGACATCATAAATCGTGGTATTACACCAAGTCGTAATCTCACAGACATCATAAATCGTGGTATTACACCAAGTCGTAATTTCACAGACATCATAAATCGTGGTATTACACCAAGTCGTAATCTCACAGACATCATAAATCGTGGTATTACACCATGTCGTAATCACACGCAAATAGACATAAACCGTGGTCCGTAACATATCAACCATAGCCCAATGCAGGAGCTTTTTATTCACGCAAAAATATAAATCAAAAATATTTTAAGAAAGTGGCCTTTTCATTGGCTAAGAATTGAAATTCGAACTATGATTTAACCCTAAATGACGTCACAGCGAACGCGATAATTGCGTCACGCGTTGATATTTAGTTGTTTCGGGCCAGGAGTGTTAGTGATATGTTCAGGGCCCTTATTCACGAAAACTTAAACTAAGATACAATCGAAATTTTAATACTGCAATTCGATTGGCTGACCAGTAAAATCAATTTGCATATATCCAATAAAGTTGCAGTATTTCTTAAAATTTCGGTTGTAACTTAGTTTAAGTTTTCGTGAATAAGGGCCGAGGACCATGGTTATACCCAGAGGAATAGCACAGTGTATTAAATTATGTAGCACCCATCCGTCAGTACTGTCAGTCCCCTGTTACCATTTCACGAAGACATCATTCAAGTAAAATGTCAAAATTCTGCTGATAAATCTATTTACAGTCAGCTTTGTTGCAGCTGGCTGTGCATGGAGACTCAGTTATCCAGAACTAATTTATTTCATTGTAGGATTCCAATTAAATTTATCCCAAACAAGGGTTTAGAGTCAATTAATTTTCATTTTATGTTTTGTAAAATTATTGCTGCATACATAGCGACGTTCATGTTCCCAAAGCAGCAACCGCCAGTTTTACAACATCTAACCGAGTAAAAGCAAGATGACGCCTTCTACTGAAGAGGAGCGACGTAAAGATTTGACGACTTTCAATTTATCTATTAGCACTAATACAATAATATCAATTAGCCAACAAGCAGGCTTAGCACAGTCCCGATGTGGTGGGTGGGGTGGGGCGATAAGGGGGGTAAGCACAATCATCATAGCTCCACAAAAATCGTGTATAAAATCCGTAACAACTACAATTCTGGAAGTGGACATTTATGCACCAGTTACTCGGGGATCCTCGACAATCTCCAACAAGCTTGGGGATATTCATAGGCTTTATTGCTACTCCCGGGAAGCTAAAGCCCAAGGCTCCCATAAGACCATATGAGATAATCTCAATTGGTTCGGTTGGAGTAGTTCAACATGGTGTCCTGTCCGTAGATGATAGAGCTTCTTCCGTAGCTGACCGAACTAAGTTAGCTGGAGAAGATTGGCGTTAGTTATAACTTCCTTTATTTCTGATGGCGGAATGTATTCAACACTTTCCGCGCGAGGAAGTCCGTTATTCATTTCCATATAATAACCTTCCCCTTTAGGGGCCGGTGTTACTGTCACCACAAGACTCTCGGAGCTACTGAAGTCGATCAAGGGCTGTTCCGGAACCAGCTGTACACGACGTGGAGTTGCGGAAAGAGGGGATCCAGAAACAGTTTGAGCACGGAGTCTTTCGAATCCGTCATCTTTGAAGAAGAAGTCTATCAAGGGACTAGATGCTTCATTGGATTTCGCGAGGGTTGTGTTTAGATTATTTGAGATCGTAGGTTCGACATTTATACTGGGAATGTTCATGGGACTTGTTGACGGTGGTATCGGGCTCTCAGTAGGGGTATTTGAATCTTTGAGGTCATCATCTCCAAAGTCTAAGAGCAAAATGTCACTACTGTTGTATTCAATTACTGCATCGGAGGACGATCTAGTGGGTTTTGATATTTCTTGCACAACGTCCGGAATGGACTGATAAAAATGATCACTTTTGACAAGTTCTGTTTCAGAATCTTTGGGCTCGTCTTCCTGGTAGAATTTCGCCAAGGTCGCGTTGACACTATCGAGCACTATATCGGAAGAAGGTAACTGGGATTTCTGACAAGGAGCTGGACTTTCGCTTCGATCGGGGCTTGTATTTGGACTGTGTCCGGACTTTCCACCAAGAAACGAAAGACCTGATAAACGTTTCTTCCAGTTGGATTTTGTTTTTGAGTTCATGCTACTCCGAAGACTTGCAGGTCGATCTGGCAGAGCTGGAGGGGTATCGGCCGTCAGTTGAACTTTCGGTAGATTATTGTCTCCAAATATCCCTTGATCTTTTTTTCTACTTTCCAGTTCCTCATAATCCGGTTCTTTTGTCACGTCTCCGGTAGAACGCCGTCGAGATGTACATTCATCCGTTTTGTCACTAAGACGACGTCGGAGAACTTCGGTGTAATCCAGTTCCTGATAGATATTGGAAGGGTCCATTTTGTCCTCGGGACTCTCTTCCATGATAGCTTCGTCAACGTCACTTCCTTTACGTTTGGCTTCTTCGTATGAGCCGTTAGAGAAACCACTATCGAAGGAATTACTAACAGTGCGTAAAGGAGATCCGTCCGTTTTCTTTTCGGGAGCGTCGGGTTTGTTTTCAGTTACATCGGACTCACGTGACGAAGACATACGAGATCGATTTGACGAGACGGAATTGGTTGACGATATCGACCCAGAACGAGGCTTGACGTTCAAGCAATTGGGGTCATCAGTACATTTAATCCTAGAGTAACCATCTTCCATAGAAAAGACGGGGTAGGGTGTCACGGAAGAGTCCACAGTCAAGGATGTGGATCTCGTGGAGCGTTTTGGATCTGGTGTAGAGGTTGTTGGTAATGTGTTAAGTTTCCCCGGAGTCGAAAGAACTGGGGATAAAGGCGGAGTATTAAGAGAATCAGACGCAGATATGTTGCTTGCAGAAGACATTTCAGATATGCTTCGGACTGCACGCAGTCTCAAGGTACCGCTAGGATTATCAGAATTTGCAAGAAGATTTGAGAACTGGTATTCACTATTACAACTGGATCCCGAGCGTTCTCTTGCGTCCGTGTGGGATTTTTGGCGTTGGCGTTCTGCTATCGCCATACTGATGTTCTCCCGGATGGTCTTTAGGATGAGTTCCCACTCTGGAGTTGAAAAGCAAAACATACCCTCACCGGTAGACGAATTACTGAAATATAGAAATTGAGGCTTCTATTAGTTCAATTCAGTAAGATATGAAATGTGGCGAGTGGCGTTTCAAGCGGCAGGGTATGCCTATAATATATGCAAGACCCTAAAAGCAAGAGAGAGAGAGAGAGAGAGGGGGGGAGGGGGCTTAACGTTCACTCGACACAACTAGGTCATTTCGGGACTAACATATGGTTCAATTTTTATTCCAATTATTCGCTTGCGCGTCGGGGTCTTTAGCAGTGGGGGTAGGGCGAATCGGGGGGACCCGGAGAAAACCCACGAGGTTGCACTGGCGAACCTACACCTTGTTATGTGCAAGATGGGAATCGAAACCACGCCACTTGACTCATTGACATGCGTTATGATCGAAAGCGCACACCATTCGCACCCCCCCCCCCGCCGCACCCCGCACCCCCACCCCCCGCCATCTAAAGTACGTTAAGTAAAAGGCTAAATAGAAAAATGAAATATTTCAGTACCCAAACAGTTTTGTCAGCTACTGCCCCTGTCCCTCCACAAGACCTGGCCTGCCCCATCGCCTTAACAAAAAATATAAAGTTACACTTACGCTCCACACTCCAATATTAAAACCCTTTTGCCGGCATCTTTTGTGTTTTCTATCGTGTAAAATCTTTTAACTGTCGACAGTCGCCATTCTACCAGTGGGGTGTAATCGTGGGATAACAACATAATATACGAGGTGTTGATTCCCAATAAAACTTTCTCATCTAGATTAAGACGTTGAGTGTGCGGGTTGCCTATAACATGCACACCAAAAATATCTGAAACAAAGTAAATCATCTAGATTAAGACGTTTAGTGTGCGGGTTGCACGTAAAAGATCCCCTGGCAGTTGCCCGGGCAAAATTGCCCTCATAGCACACTGTATGTCGTATGCCCGTCTTCATTAGCAGAACAGTAGGACGTTAAACCCCATATCATTTCATTAGTCCAGTTCGTGTATATCATATAGAAACAAATAGAAACGTATCTGCACGTAACGCATCCTACGACCTACCATTATCATTCAACTACTAGAACATATCTAACCAATGTGGTCGAAACGAGGAAACTCCACTTTGAATTTCAACCAAATGTTAAAAGATCTTTTACAAGCACAAAAGTTAAAAGATATCTTACAAGAACTAATGTTGGTCAAATAAGCATGATATGTATGAAATGGGGTTTAACTTCCTGCTGTTCTGCTCCAACAAGGCTAACGAAGACGAGCATACACCATACAGTGTGATATAATTGACATTTTGCCCGGGCAGTGGCGCTACGGCTTACTCTTATAAAGAATTCCAACTGCCAAAAGATCTTTTACGTGCACGGCAATGTGTACACGGGACCTCGGTTTTTCGTCCCATCCGAATGACTAAACAGTTGTCCTTGTCATGGCCTCCGTCCTGCATCACTGACAAGGGGGACCACACCGGAAGATCTGGATAAACTTTCTCGGTCAATGCAGGGATCGAACACCCGACCTACAGACTAGTGAGCCAGCGTCTTAACCACCTGCGTCTTAACCAACTAGACACCGCGACCCCCGACAGAGAAATGACGTATGACGTAATAGAAAACCATGTGACGTAATAGAAAACCCCGTGACTCTGTGGCGTCACTCGGCAAACCTCAACAGATTCCAGTACCCTACATCTAGAATCTCGGCTGTATGACAAAGTCCGCCATTAGAACTACTTCCAAGTTCCCGGATTACAATGGCGTTGTCCATGACGACCAATGACGTCATTGATGACGACGTATTTGAAGAATGTTTTATCTTACAAAATTTTCAAAGTTTGAAGCTGTTTTTCTTTCAAGTTTATCCGATTTTCTTTAGACAAGGACAAATTTGCACTGAAAATTCTACACACTCTTCGAACGACGCAATTTTGAGAACTTCTTTCTAAACGCGGGCAAGTTTCCCTTATAAGTAAACCGGTGCCGCATCGCAAATGTATAGGCGTAGGTACATATCACTTACTGTCATACAGCCGAGGCTAGATGTATGGTAAGTGAATCTTCCGAGGTTTGCCGAGTCTCTGTGGCGTAATAGAAAACCCCGTGACGTAATAGACAACCCTGTGACGTAATAGAAAACCCTGACCTACCACATTCAGCTAATTCATCGTGACGAAATATTCTTCTATATATGGACATCCACGTGGCTGTTTCCTGTTCTGACGCAGCACAGAAAACCAGAACCGGTTCGGATTCCACGACTTCAAACGCGTGTGGATGAGTTTTTGATTTTGATAATTGAACTGCTGTGATATTCTCTAGAACAAATGTCATTTTATCTCCCGTGTTTTTACCCACGGCATCCTGGTCGTGATAAATGTCTATTTTAGCGTTGTATTTCTTGCTAGCTAGATCAGTCATCTGATGTACTACCACCCATCTCCTCTTCCATGTCTGAAAAATACAAAAGTTAAAAATATATAAATAATAGAGAGAGAGAGAGAGAGAGAGAGAGAGAGAGAGAGAGAAGAGGGGGGGGGGGGTAACGTCCACTCGACACAAACTAGGTCATTTCGGGACTAATGTATGGTTCAATTATATTTCAATAACTCCCTTGCGCGTAGGGGTCTTTAGCATTGGGGGGAAACCGGTGGACCCGAAGAAACCCCACGAGGTTGGACAGGCGACCCTACTCCTTGTCACGTACAACCGGAAATGTAATGAAATGTGGTTTAACGCCCTAATGTTCTGCTCCGACTGGGCTAATGAAGACGGGCGATTATAAGCATCCTTGAATTGACGTCAAAGTGGCATGTGCAGGCCGTTCAATGAGGAGTTGCAGACACCTGCCGTTTGGGACTAACACATGGTTCAATTTTATTTCAATAATTCGCTTGCATGTAGGGGTCTTTAGCTGTGAGAGGATACCGGAGCACCCGGGAAAAACCTCACGAGGTTGGACAGGCGACCCTACTCCGGGGAATCGAAACCACGCCAGTTGACTCAATGACAGACCTTATGATATTGCGCAGGCGCTAACCTTTCGGCCATCCAACCCCCATCGGCGGTAAAGCAACTATCCGGGAACAATTTCTCTCATAGCATCGCGTCTTCATTAGGGGGTTTGGATGGCTGAATGGTTAGCGTGAGCGCGCTGTATCATAAAGTCTGTCATTGAGTCGACTGGCGTGGTTTCGAATCCCCGGTTGTACGTGGCAAGGAGTAGGGTCGCCTGTCCAACCTCGTGGGTTTTCTCCGGGTCCTCCGGTTTCCTTCCACTGCTAAAGACCCCTACGCGCAAGCGAATTATGTAAATAAAATTAAACCATATGTTAGTCCCGAAATGACCTGGTTTGTGTCGAGTGGACGTTAAACCCCATTTCTCTCGCGTCTTCATTAGTTCACTCGGTGCAGAAATGTAGGACACTAAACTCCATCTATTTCATTTCGTTTCAAAAAGCCGTCTGATAAACTTTTATTCAATATAACCGACATTTGATAAACTTTAATCCGGGCTGAGTGCAACAAATGTGAAGATAAAATATCTATAAAAAAGGAGCTCAGATCACTTCAAATAAATCATGGAGTTCAGTTTAAAGATAATAGAAACGAAAGAAAGGGGTGAAGGGGGGGGGGGCTACATAAGTCTTGATTGTGGTACTTAAATTATGGAGTTCATTTTACAGATAATTGAAACAAAAGAAAGAGGGTGTGGGGGGTCTATATAAGTCTTGATTGTGGTACTTAAATTATGGAGTTCTTTATAAAGTTAATAGAAACAAAAGAAAGGGGGTATAGAGGGGTCTATATAAGTCTTGATGGTACTTAAATTATTGAGTTCATTTTAATGATGAATAGAAACAAAAGAAAGAGGGGGATGGAGCTATTACATACGTCTTGATTATGGTACTTAAATCCGGATTGAGTGCAGTAAATTACCTTGCAGAGGAAAAATTAAAAAAATAACTAATCTAAACAGAGGTCAGATCATTTCAAATAAATCACTGAATTAATACAAAATACAAAAAAAAAAGAAAGAGGTCTATATAAATCTGAATTGCGGTACTTAAATCCGGATTGAGTGTAATAAATTAATGTGCAGAGAAAAGGTTTAAAAAATAACAAATCTGAACAGAGGTCAGATAATTTCAAATATTTAAGTACAAAGATAAAAACAAAAGGAAATTTTCCTTGTATAAGTCTAGTTTATTTACTTTAAAGAAGGATAAAGCCTATAGATATATATATATATATATATACGATATCCCCGTCAGGTTACCATCAAAAGGTCTATTGATAACTGATAAGATATACAATCTACTGAGATGGGGTTTAACGGCCAACTTTTCTGCACGATTCGGGGTAAAGATGATGGGCATACGCCATGCAGTGTGCTATGAGGGTTCTTTATGTGCATACTGAATTGTGCGCGGAACCTCGTTGTTTTGTTCCAACTGAACGACTTGACGTCATTAGTTGTCAGGTCGTCCGTCCTCCACCACCGATCTGCCCACAGGTCCCTTGGGTCTCGTGGGCCAGTGCCTTACTAACTGCTAAGATACACGGAGAGAGAGAGAGAGAGAGATGGGTTTAACGTCCACTCGACACAAACAAGGTCACTCCGAGAGAGAGAGAGAGAGGGGGTGGGGGTCAGTTCGGGACTAACATATGGTTCGGTTTTATTTCAATAATTCGCTTACGCGTAGGGGTCTTTAGCAGTGGGAGGAAACCGGAGAAAACCTACGAGGTTGGACAGGCGACCCTACTCACGTACAAGCAGGGAAAATAAATGATAACTTGATAATATCCCTATTGTACCAGTTCAAATGTTGAAACCTGTTATTCATTACACAACTATTGTAAATCAAGTACGATTTCTTGATATAATGTACCATGTGATCAGATTAGTCTGAAGGAGGGTTGGGGGGGGGGGGGGCATACTGACTCGATTTGAGTTATGCTGCTGACTCATTGACCTGACTCAAGATGTTGGTCGAGAATTTCAATGGGATTTTCTAGCCTGGCATGATTCCCATTGTCACTGTCGGTAGTGCAGGCCATGACAAAGACATTCAGATGGGACGAAAAACAGATGACCACACGTGTACACATGAAAGAAAGAACTCCTGACAGTTCCAATTCGATGACGGATGTCCCGGTAAAATTTACGTTATAGCACAATGCATGACCCATGGCCGTCTCCATTGGCCCGGTTGATGCAAAATATCGGACTCTAAACTAAACCCCATATTATTTAATTTTTTCAGATAAATTTGTCTCAGTTTGGTTACAAGAATTTTTGTTTGTTCGACACAATCGGACGTTAAACCCCATTTTATTTCATTTGGGATATTCCGACGTGGTTTCCCCTTGTCAGTGGTGCAAGACGGAGGGCCTGACAAGGACAGCTGTCTAGTCGATCGGATGGGACGATAAACCGAGGTCCCGTGTATACATTGGCGTGTACGTCAAAGATCCATTAGCAGTTGGAATTCGATATAAGAGTAGGCTATAGTGTCGCTGCCCGGGCAAAATTTCCTTCATAGCATACTGTATGGCGTATGCCAGTCTTCATTATCCCGGTTCGGAGCAGAACAGTAGGACGTTAAACCCCATTTCATTTAGTCGTATCATTGGTGTACACGGGTTCATAAGGCCGCCTGTAGATTTGGTCAAAGGTCACGAGATGTAAACAGATAAATTGTTTCAATGGCATTTAGTAATTGAACTAGAGTATACAGGTGACAATTCAATGTGCAGTCATTGTTCTAAGTGTTTTTCGTATATTAGTGAAATCACTTACATCTACATGCATATATCAACATTTTTCGTTATAATACCAATCAAATCTCATCTTTTTAGAGTGTTGTGATTATCAAACCTGATCAAATCATTGTAAATACTCCACAACAAGCTATTCATTAATCATTTGTGTTTTTTTTCAGGTAAAGTGGTCGTAGATAACAATTGATCAAACTTCATCGTCTTTGATCGTTTGTCATTATTAAAACCTAATAAATCAGTGTATATACTCCATAACAAGTTATCCATTAATTATTTAATCAATTTATGTTAATTTTCAGGTAAACTGAAAGTTGTTAATAGCATTAAACTTTATAATCCTTAATTAAATTAGATTCCCTTTAGGTACAGGTACATGTAATTAAGGGGTATCTCTGGTTGGTTAACATTAACTAGGTACTGTTGTGTACGTGTATATATTGTCTTGTCATATTTTATCGACAAGTATCCTGTTATCGTTATAAATTGTGCTTGATATTGATAAGAGGTTTTGTCTACGATATCACCTTAGGTGGAAGTGGACGTAAAACTCTAGAAACGAACGAACGAACGAACGATAAGAGCATACTTGTCGAAACGTCGTGCTTTTAGAATAAACCAGTGATTGTTTCCCATAAAAACTGTGTTCTGTTAATGGAATATACAGGTCACAATTCTATGGAACACTGCTTAATACTGCGACATTTTGATTAGGCTTCTGTAGTCATTATCAAGCAATGATAAAATATTGTCTGTTATATTTCATATTTTATCATTGCTTGATAATGACTAGAGAAGCCTAGTCGAAACGTCGCTCAGTAATAAGCAGTAATTGTATTCCATAGAACTGTGACCTGTTTAAGATGTAAACAGGACTAAGGCTAATCCCAACCCTAACCCTAAACCCTGCACCTCGCCCTAACCCTACCCAAACCAACAATCTCGTAAACAATCACGTACCCTAACCTAATTTACATCTCAGGGGATGTTGGATGGCTGAATGGTTAGCACGTGCGCGCTGTATCGTAAAGTCTGTCATTGAGTCAACTGGCGTGGTTTCGATTCCCCGTTTGTACGTGACAAGGAGTAGGGTCGCCTGTCCAACCTAGTGGGTTTTCTCCGGGTCCTCCTTTTTTCCCCCACTGCTAAAGACCCCTACGCACAAGCGAATTATGGAAATAAAATTGAACCATGTGTTAGTCCCGAAATGACCTAGTTTGTGCCGAGTGGATGTTAACCTCCATCTCTCTCTCTCTCTCTCTCTCTCTCTCTCTCTCTCTTATTAATAAAATGATCTATCCGGTGTACACGATGTAAACGAATGTCGGTGTTAAGTCTATCAATGATATCAACTTTAACCTATTGACCTAATTAATTAGAATAATTAGATAACCGTATAATAATCATACATCCACCTTTGTTATCATCAAACAATTAATTCACCTATATTTTATCCTCATCAATTTATATTTTTAAATTATATTTGCACTTTTTGTCACGCAATGGCATGCATGTAACCATACATCAGGCATAAATATTGCACGATGCACAAATTATTTTAGTGCACTTAAATGTCAAAAGCTTGTGGGTCTGTTAAAGATATGAAATGAAATGGGGTTTAACATCCTGCTGTTCTGCTCCGACTGGGCTAATTAAGACGGGGGTCCGATAAA